AAAGTCATTGATCACAAGTTTATTATCATTGCAGTATTTTCGGAATAAGTACTGGCTGCACTAGCACCTCATATCTGGTGTGGTGTATTGTATTACAGTGTTCTCAAACTGTGTTAGTGAGTACGATAGGACATGTAAACCCTGTCAGATGTATTGTTGTAATGACTGCCCTTTTATGTCTCCTCCACACTGGCTATCTGTGGTGCAGAGTTAACACTGGCTCTGATGTCTAGAGGTTCACAATTCAATCAAAGCAGACATGATCCTCTTCATGGTCACACAACGTCTAACAACGGTTAACACCAGCGGCACATTTCACGAGTTCATTTACACGTTAGCTCAATACACAAATCACAGGTGAATCCACTTACAGCATTCGGACAATAGACGTTGACATATTCACAGCTGGCTTTGACAATCAAACAGGGTACCATCACAGCTGGCCTTCTCGATCATTCATTCCTCGCCGATTCAGATCCACATGCTCTAGTCATTCTCCATTCATCTTCACAGCTTCATTTTCCATCCTTTCTCTCTGGGGCCCAGTCACCGAATGCCCGCCTGATTCTCAATCCCCCAGATCTCCTCATTCACACGTGACTCACTCTTTCCTGTCGTTTCACCATATCTCCGTGAAACCCATACTCTCAGGACTTCCCCAGTTATGCCAATCATCCCATGACATTATCCCTATTTATAACATCATTACAATTGTGGTTGTTAACTTGTTATGTGTGCGTGACCTATTGCGATTCTTTTGTCTGGCTTACCCTTTGTTATAAGTTAGTTGTATGTAATTCCTTTATAGTACGTTGCAGAATAAACCTAAGTATTGTCTGGTTCTTAGTGGTTTTCATAGGCAAATTTTAGGTTCAGTAGTTTGCCATTGCTTCCTCAAAAGTCAGTTCTAGGTACCAATGTTGAAACCAACGCAAGACAAGTCGTCTACAGTTGAGATCAAACCCGCCCCCGGCATTATGAAGCCTGTTCTCAACGCCTAAGGCAAAGACTTCGAGAGCTTACTCTTGTTAAAACCACCATCAGAATGTGCTGTGCCAATGAGAGTGGGCGGCCATGGTGGAATCTTGTGTGTGTGTGTGTAGGTGTGTGGGTGTGTGTGAGGGGTGTAGGGGGAAGGGGGGGACTGACTGACATTTTAGATAATTCCTCCCCCTCCCCCCCACCCCGAAGATACTTGTCACGTGTTTGGGCTAGACTTGCCAAATGAAGTTGTGCAGTAATCGTGCATGTCCTATTGGCGTCAAACGCACGCAGTCATTGCTTCTGTCAACGGTAGTTTTGTCCTATTTCCTTGCAGTCAAATGTATTGTTGAATGTGGAAGTGAGAATCAGCAGTCTATCACTCGGGACACTCCCATAAGCGTCCGTCGCCCATCTTCAGCAGCAAGCGAAGAGTTCCAATTCTGATGTCACCAGTAACTGTCTGATTGGACATCCGTATCGCCTTTCTTTTGAGTGATGAGCGTCCGCGAGATTCCCCAGTAGCGATTTGCCTGCTGAGTTTTACAACACACAGGCATGACCTGGGGAAAATATCCAAAGAATATTAACTACCAGGGAACTCTGAATTGATGCTTGCCACTCTGCACGGAGCATGTCTCCAAATTTCTCAACAGGCTCTGTGAGTCAGTTACAACCACGACATGTATGTACAGCTGATTCTCAATTCAGCGAAATGTTTTTTTAAAATAGTCATTTCTGTACACCTAGAAACAAATGTAAAACTGCTGTGGGCGGTAATGTATGAACTACTCTTTCTGTGTTTGTCTTAAAACTGCTGTCGATATTTAATTTTACAGAAACTGAAGACGTGACACCATCGGTTTGGTTGCTTCTGCTGATAGTGCCACTTGTAATAGAGGCAGTATGCTGCTTGTTAGTGGGAGCTGGCATCATACGTTCAGAGAAAGTCGGTAGACCTTCTTCCGCTGCGGCTACCCAGTGAGAGCTACAGTAGATTGTTAGTGCAACGGAATATGTCTTTGTTTTGTGTGTGTCCCTGAGTTGATGAAGCTCCTATTATTGCAAAAACTCCATTAAACCTTGTACAATCGATATAGGTAACTGTTTGCTTGATGAGCAACTGTCTCCGATACTGAGTTCGTCTTCAATATTTCTTTGACAATTATTACCATTGTTAGACAAATCAGCAATATGGCTGGTAATGTGACCAAGACGTTGAAGAGTCTAGCCAATTTACACTACAGATGGTTGGTTAAATAGACTGATATCGCAGCATTGGCAAACGGTTCGAGTGAATGTTGAACGTTGAATAAGAATCGACATCATAGCAAGTGGGACAACCACCTATCATCACTCCCTCCCCATGTTCAGCAGCAAACAAAGAGTTTCAATTCCGAAAAGATTATCTATTGATACTTATTCGTATGCCTGGCCAGGTTTAGCAAATGTCATATATGAAAAATATCGGGGATACTCCTAACATAAAATATATTGCGCTCTCTATCGTATGTTTACAAAACAATTACTTGTTCGGAAACAGCTTCTGTGGGTCCCCAAAGGCTGCAACCTGTAAACATGTTCTCTGCAAGTCAACAAAGTTTGGATACCATCGATTTAGGCAGGAACAGTAGATACCATCAATGTAGGTAGGAACAGTAGATACCATCGATGTAGCAGGAACATTAGATACCATCGATGTAGGCAGGAACATTAGATACCATCGATGTAGGCAGGAACATTAAATACCATCGATGTAGGCAGGAACATTAGATACCATCGATGTAGGCAGGAACATTAGATACCATCGATGTAGGCAGGAACATTAGATACCATCGATGTAGCAGGAACATTAAATAACATCGATGTAGGCAGGAACATTATATACCATTGATGTAGGCAGGAACATTAGATACCATCGATGTAGGCAGGAACATTAGATACCATCGATGTAGCAGGAACATTAGATACCATCGATGTAGCAGGAACATTAGATACCATCGATGTAGGCAGGAACATTAGATACCATCGATGTAGCAGGAACATTAGATACCATCGATGTTGGCAGAAACATTAGATACCATCGATGTAGCAGGAACATTAGATACCATCGATGTAGCAGGAACATTAGATACCATCGATGTAGCAGGAACATTAGATACCATCGATGTAGGCAGGAACATTAGATACCATCGATGTAGCAGAAACATTAGATACCATCGATGTAGCAGAAACATTAGACACCATCGATGTAGCAGGAACATTAGATAACATCGATGTAGCAGGAACATTAGATAACATCGATGTACCAGAAATATTAGACACCATCGATGTAGCAGTAACATTAGACACCATCGATGTAGCAGTAACATTAGATACCATCGATGTAGCAGTAACATTAGACACCATCGATGTAGCAGTAACATTAGACACCATCGATGTAGCAGTAACATTAGATACCATCGATGTAGCAGTAACATTAGACACCATCGATGTAGCAGTAACATTAGACACCATCGATGTAGCAGTAACATTAGATACCATCGATGTAGCAGAAACATTAGATACCATCGATGTAGCAGAAACATTAGATACCATCGATGTAGCAGAAACATGAGATACCATCGGCGAAGAAGAAACATTAGATACCATCGATGTAGCAGAAACATGAGATACCATCGATGTAGCAGAAACATTAGATACCATCGATGTAGCAGAAACATAAGATACCATCGATGTACCAGAAACATTAG